GGGGTCTCACTCTTGCTCAGGCTGGTCTCGAACTCCTGAGCTCAAACAATCCGCCCGCCTTGGCCTCCCAGAGAGCTAGGATAACAGGCATGAGCCACAGCACCCGGCCAAATGTTTTTAAACTTATAACGGCTTAAAAATACTATACGTGATATACAATGTTATATATATGTGTCTGTATACATACATAAAGAAAAGATTTGCAGCAAGATTGCCATCTATGGTGCTACACCTATAGGACTGATTGCTTTTTCAGTGAAGAATCCTAACAAATATACTAATGATATTTACTTGGCCTCTAATGTTCCAATATTCCAGAAAGTTCTTATTTGTAGATTAATTTTAGCTGGATGGACATGGTCTCTCTAGGTGGTTCATTGAAAGTAAATATGGAATGTGTGGATTCATGCAGTATGGCTCCCTGAACAACGTCACTAAAGCTAAGTATCAGGGTACAAAATCAAAGCACTTTATTATCAAAATAGCTCTCTTTTGTGTAAATGATGCCCTACATGTTTTTTTTGAGATATCATATATAAAATCTGGGCCAGGGCACATCAATTGTAGCAAGAAAGGACCTGGAGAGTAGATTCAGCAGTTTCAGACTTCTCCATGCTTTATCATGCACTCTTGAAATTACACTTAAATTGGATATTAGCTAAAATCTCTGATTTCTGTGAAGCTACTTTGAATATTTCAACCCTTTGTGTTTTGTGTATGTGTATGTATACAAACATTTTTAATTTATGTGGTAAAAAGTGAACATGTCTCAAAGGCTCCTCCCATTCCATTTCTGCTGCAAGAAACCATTTTTTCAGCTTGCTACATACTCTTTCATGCATATGCACCATACTCTTGGCCAGCTTCAAATCTAAATGTAAGCAAGAGCTTTGTTTTGTTTACCACTATATCCAAGTTATTGGAGAGGGGAAGGTTTGAGGGAAGTTTTCTGGTAAAGATAAAAGGGACTTTGCAATTCTTTTAAGCTGAAGTGACAGTGCCTACTGAGAGAGAGAAGGCAAAGACATAGAAGAAAGAAAGGGGGTAACTTAATGGAGTGAAAGGACCTGGGTTCAAGGCAAAGGGAGAGGGGACTTCTGAGAAAAGGACAAGGAGTATAATAAAAGGTAATGTTTGTGGTGGGAAGAAGGGGTTGTTTATTTTCTGGGTAGGGAGAGGAAGGAAAGGGATGGAAATTGAGGGAGTTCAAGCATGAAGGACTCTACTTCCATTCAGTAAAAAGTACTGCTGTATAAGAATGAGGCAGGGCAGGATGAGGAAGAGTGACAGAGGAGACTGGTGAAGCTCAGAAAGGGTCATATTAAGGAAACAGAAGAAAAGCTGCTTAGAAGTTACAGGGTAATCCCAAGGAGCCAGGTGAATTTAGAGGCTATGAATGCACAATCTACACCACAGTCTATGAATGTATACTGATGCTAGTCTACATCACTGTGTAATCTTCTCCACTAATGATCAGCAGTCTGGCTAGAGATGCAGACACGATTCAACTAATTCACTATTGTAATTTTGTCAGGTACTCATGGGATAAGTAAGTTAAGGTTATTGACAAGAGAATTATTTGTCATGGAGTCTTGGCTATTTCAGAAAGAAAATAAAGGCAGGAGAATATGAATAAACAACAGTAACAAATGTGGAGTCAAGGACTTAGAGTTCTTCCTTAGGTTGAAAAGCAAGTGTTCATCTTTTTTCTATATATGCACAATCTCCCCCAAAATATCATTTAAATATTCATGAGTATTCTAAGTTATCTTTTCACATAATGAAAATGGCCTTAGATGGAAATATCATAAGAATCCTGGCACTAGGAATTTACCAGTTCTAGTTTGGACTGTTTATGAATAACCAACAAGGTCTAAAACTAGAGACAATATGTACATGCCCCCCTTTAAATATAGTAATTAAAATGTCAGTATTAGACTTAGCTTTGCAACACAGGTTTAGAAGGAAAGTTTTCCTTTATTCAGGTTAATTTAAAGAAATGTCAATAAAAGTAAGATTTGGAAGAAAGAAAGATAGAGGACTTTTAATGTGAAAATGAAATAGCTTAAGTTTTCTCCACACTAAAATTATCTTTATTCCCATGAACGATGCAGATTAACATTTCATTTGAATGCTACATTTTAAGTTTAAAAACCTGCTCATCCCTCCAAAATAAGCTTATAAATAACTTCCTCTTACCTGCCGTAAAGTACGTGCAACTATGCTTTCTAATACTGGTCCTCTATCTTCATGCAGCAAATGAACTTCATCAAGAATAAGGAGTTTTACAATTTGGGAAAGAGCTACATCCCCAACACTCTTTCTTGTCACTACATCCCATTTTTCTGGTGTGGTCACAAGCATCTGTAAGATAAGAAAAGACCATCAAACTAAAAAGGGAAAAAAAATCACATACATTATTAAGTTTCAACTGTGTCATTCAAAAAGAAATAATTCTGGTCATCTCTATACAAAGCAAATGAAAGTGTTTAAAATATCCTCGTACAAAATCTAATTCACTATAGACAACATGCATTTTGAGAGGACAATTCTTTAAGCTGTGATACCAAGCGATTATTTAAAACTCACTGACGGTAGTTTGTCAGTGAATTGTAGTGTGAAGTATACAAAATACACAAATTTTTTTAAATGGGATCATACAATGTAAAAAAAACAACACTATCTATTAAAGTAGCATATATTGATAACAATCTTTATTTGAAAAGGGACTAG